GTGGTGGTGTGGTTGGGGGACTTGGATTGCTTGATGGGCTGGGTGGTCGACGAGACAGGGTTGGGGTAGGCCTTGAAGGTGTAGTCCGGGATGGGGGCCAGGTCGCTGAGGGGAGTAAGCTCTCTAGTCTCGTAGGCCGGCTTCTTCTTGATCTTGATCTTGGAGGGGCCGGCAACCGCGGGAAACTCTGAGCTGCCGTTGTGGAAGGGGCGCTTAGGCTCGCTGTTAGGCTCGGCCGTGATCTTGCGGGTATTGGCTTGGGTTTTGGGGCTGTCGATGGCACCGGAACGCTTCACGCCATTTTCGGCGTCCTTCGTAGCGCTAGCCTCAAGCTCATTCTTCTTCACTTCGCTGTTCTTGGACTCGCTCCTCCTGAAATCCTTGAGTTCGTCTTCGAGCTCCTTTTCTAGTTCTTTCTTCTTGCGCCCCTTCTTCTTGGGCTCGCTGTTTTGGGACTTTTCGGCGGCCTTTGATGCATGAACTTTGGAGGTTTCCGGGAGCGAAAACCCAACAGGGATAGGAGGATGGACTGGGGTCTCCTTCTGGGTGATGCCTGTGCCAGAGATGTTGTCGGAGCTTGCCAGGTCATCTTGTTCGATACTGCCATTTGACTTCTTGGCCGTCTGGATGAGGCGGTCCTTCTTGTTGGGCCTGGCCCGCTTAGCGCGTTTCGCGGTCGGTGATTGCAGGAGTTCGTCGTCGAAGGCACGTTTGGGCGGCCCGACAGTGGGTGAAGAGGGAAAATCCATCTTGTACTCTTGGTGACGGTCTAGGGCGGAACTGGGGCTGGGATCGGTATGCTCGTAATTTGTGGTCTTTGAAATGAAGTCGCTCGGCTCAGTTGCCAACGTGGATTGTTCCTGTCCCATTACTTGAGCGATTGAAAGAGCCGTATCAAAATCAAAATACAATCTTGCCGTGGATGGCGAGAGAAGAAATGTGTAAAGAAAACAGAAATTGATTGCAATTTTCGTTCAGGTTGATTGATTCAACGTGGTCACGATGAGTGAGTCCACTGCAAAAACTTGAAGAAAAAGGGTGGTGCTGAAATCAAGAAACTCGAAAAGAAAACAAAAACCGAGAGTGCAGAGACAAGTCGCTGGCCGTGGCAGAGAACGGAGTAGCGCAAGTTCAGGTTTTAGAGCGTGTTTCCCGCGAGCGATGTAAACAACAGTGGCCACCTTCAGATGAAAGCATTTGAAGCGGAAGCTACAAATTCGGAAACTGACAAAAAATAACTAGGTATTCTAACTGTCTATGCACATCACCCCCAACCCGTCAATTACTGTCAAGTACCAAATTCGGAAACAAGAGAGTTCGATCATCTGGTTGAAGCTATGATAGTAACACAACTACTAATGACAACTGCTAACTAATGGGACTTATGGAAGTAAATTATTTTCAGATCCATCAATCGAGTCGAGTCCGTGGGTATTTAAGCGGCTTAGTTCCGCATATGGTTTGTCATCGAAGTTCTCTATGATCAAGTAGACTAACCTAACATCGCCTTCAAAGGTGGTCGTTGGCGTTGCAAAGCAACTACACGTGGAGGGAAGACACCGCATCTTTTGACCGTTGGTTGCTTCCAAAACTTGTTCCAATTGGATCTCTTCACTGTCTCACTGCGCTGTTAAACCGCTACTTTTCGGAACGCCGGCAATCCTCTCGCGGTTGGTCGGGCAAGCAGAGGCGGCGTTGTCTGGTCCTGCGTTGGTTCGCCGTTGAAAGCGAAACTTGAAACATGTTCCCATTTCGGACTGGCTGTTTTGTCAAAAGGCTTATTTTGTTGCCAAGGCGGCGCAGAATCCATTCGGCCACGAGTTGGCCCCGCCAGAAATACGAATCCGCTAATCTCCTTTTAGAAGTCCCCGTATTGCTGCAGCCACACGGGCCAACGAGGAGACTCGATTTCACGCGCTCCCCGCAAGCACAGCCCCGTTGCCGTTCCTTTCGGTCCCTGGAATTTTGGAGCTGACATCGCGCTGGACAGAAAATATACCAAGCTTAACGTACATTTTCTGTCCAGTCCCGCCCGAGGTTCCCTTGTTCAGGGGAGTGCGAACCATCCGACTGGCGCCCTGGCCTGGCCAACAGCGGGAACAGAGCGGGCCTTACGTCAGTTTACGAGGAGAGACGGAAAAGAAAGGAAACCATCCTGCTCACCTTAACAAGATCTGATGAACCCGGAAACCGAGCCGCTCGGGTCTACAGCGTAGCGCCTCGAGCCACGACCGCCTCCCGCCGAAATCCCTCGATCGATCACCACATTCCACGACCCGAACGATCCGCCGATTATCTCGAACCCCTCCCCTCGCCAATTCGCCAACCTTCCCGACAGCCGGTGTGTCCCGGCCGAGTTTGCAGCGGAATACGATGAAAATGGGATGGACAACGGCGCCAAAGGCGACAGCGTTGCTGGGCGCCCTGCTGCTTGCAGCGCCCGGTGCGAGCGCGCAGGCGGCTAAGTTGAAGGTCGACCTTGATTCACCATGTGAGTGAGGAATTGTCGGGGTGTATTTTTTGAGTCGAATACTGGGGGTTCGCGCGGGACTGCTGCTAATATGCAAGAACCGCAGCCTCGATCAGGTCGGCCGCCAAGGTCGTTGCAGCCAACCTCATGACCTACTACCACGGAGACGAGCCCGGCCAGACCCCGGGTATCCTCCCCGGGCCGCCACCGGCGGCTCCCTACTACTGGTGGCAGGCTGGTGCCATGTGGGGCACCATCGTCGACTACTGGTTCTACACGGGCGACAACCAGTACAACGCCGAGGCGTTGCGGTCCATGGTGTTCCAGGCCGAGGCCCCGGTCAACGCCTACATGCCGCGCAACTGGACCGCCTCGCTGGGCAACGACGACCAGGGCTTCTGGGGCATGGCCGCCATGCTGGCCGCCGAGGTCAACTTCCCGAACCCACCCGAGGACCAGCCGCAGTGGCTCGCCCTCGCGCAGGCCGTCTTCAACACCCAGGTGGTCCGCTGGGAGACGGCCGACTGCGCCGGCGGTCTGCGCTGGCAGGTCGAGCACACCAACGGCGGCTACGACTACAAGAACACCATCGCCAACGGGCGTGTTCCTCAACATCGCCTCGCGCCTGGCCCGCTACACCCGGAACGAGACGTACGCCTACTGGACCGAGAAGACGTGGGACTGGATCGAGGCCCTGGGCTACATCGACAAGGACTACAACGTCATGGACGGCGGCCACATCCCGTTCAACTGCACCGACGTTAACCCAGTCCAGTTCTCGGCCAACGCCGCCATCCTGATCCACGCCGCCGCCGTCATGTACAACTACGTATGTCTCACCTCTTGTTTTCTTTTTCTTTCTAGCCCAACCCCGACCCAACTTACACCTGACCCAACTTATACCTGACCCAATTTACACCTGACCCAACTAACCCCGCCCCCAGACCGAAGGCAACGCGCGCACCAAATGGAAAGGCCGCGTCGCCGGCCTCCTCAACCGCACCGTCGAGCACTTCTTCCCCGACGGCATCATGATCGAGCGCGCGTGCGAGCTCGAGGACCGCGTGCAGTGCAACACGGACCAGCACTCCTTCAAGGGGTACATGCACCGCGCGCTGGCCACCGTCGCCGTGCTCGCCCCCTTCACCTACGACGACGTGCTCAAGACCCTGCGCTCCTCCACCGAGGGCGCCGTCACCTCCTGCCTGAGCGACGGCACCTGCGGCTTCCGCTGGAACACGGGCGAGTACGATAACGATGTGGCGGCGGGCCCCGCCGGCCAGCAGATGAGCGCGTTGGCCGCGCTGTCCACGCTGCTGATTGATCAGCAGAAGGTGTTGAATGGGCCGTTGACGAACCAGACCGGTGGTACCAGTAAGGGGGATCCGAATGCCGGGCAGAAGTTCCAGGGCTTGTCGCCGCCGAGGGAGATTACCGCGGGGGATCGCGCCGGGTCGGGGATTCTTACGGCGGTGGTGCTGGCGTCGTTTTTGGGGAGTGTCGTGTGGATGGGTATGTCGTGGTCGGAGTAGAGGGGGGGAGAGTGGGTTTGGGAGGGGTGGGTGGTTCGTTGCTTGGTTAGGGTAGCGCTTCCTTAGGGTATGGGGATGGATGGCGGGTTCGGCGGCTGGATGCGTGGGGTTTGTTTTGTGCGTTGAGCGTTGGTTAGCGAGCGACTGCAAAGCGAAGCGGAGCGGAGCGAAGCAATGCGAGGCAGGTAATGCTCGGCTGGGCGCCTATCCTTTTTTTTTTTTTACCTTTCCTACGGCGTTGGGACGGACATGTGCTTATATGTAGTACGATTATTGGCTTCGGGTTATATGTGGTTCGGATTCCTATCGAGTTCACTTCTTGCCTTGTATTGCCAGTTCGAAATAGATCTGGGTATTTTGCTTGTCTTGTGGAAGTGATGCGGTTTGCCTTGCTGGGTAGAGGTAGGTACCGACCACATAGGTAGGTCGGTAGCAACCGCGGTGTTTTACTCTGTTCGCTGTCTGTTTTACCCAACTTCGGCTAGCGTTTATACTGCCAAGGCTTTTACATGGGAGAAGAGATAGACTCTGTAGCATGAATCTGCGAGTTGTCCAAGATCTCGTGTTTTGGGCGAAGAGCAGAGGGAAAGCTCAAGATGTGTCACCCAAGTCCCTGTACCGCTTGCCTGGTTCCTGTCGGACACCTGAATAAGAGCACCGCATATACCCGTGGACCAAACACGAAGTGATATCAAGAAATCAATTCACAGTGAGCCAAGCCGTACGTGGTAAGCTAATCCTACACGATGCCCGCAGAGGCACGTTGGAGCAAACATGATGCCTTGATGAAACAAGATGTCCCAATCCTATATCATACCCCAGCCAAGTGAAGCAGTCCGTCGCCGTATAATCCTCATCCAGTTCATATGTGAGCCTCACTGGCAACTTCAAACTGGCCAAGTTGCCTATGACTCCGCCAACCAAAGCCTGACAACAATTACCACCCTTTAAGAAGGGAATCCCTCACGAGGCAAAGCGCCTATAAGCGTCGCCTCCGATACGCAGAGGGTGAACAGAGCGCACCAAACGTGCCAGTATCCCACAATATCCCGTCTCCATCATCACCCCCGGGTATTACATCTGTCTGGTATCAACCACGCCCGCGATTGTTCAAGCATGAACTCCATGATGAAGCAAAGCGCTCAGAGCCGTCGCCCCCGATAACCAGAGGGCGGATAGAGCGCTCCAAATGTGCCAATATCCCACAACATCCATGTCCCGTCTCCATCATTAACCACAGGTGTGATGTATCTATCTATCAACCAGGCTTGCGGTTTTCGATGCCCCCACCCATTAGAAAGTAGCGAGGCGTCCCTTAAGAAGACGAATCATTATCGTGATGTGAATGAGAAAGCGAATGTAGACGCTCGCCCTTGCAATACCGATCTTTGCCTGACGCAGCCGAGTCCACCTCCCACTCGTTGTCGTCCGTCGAGGCCGGCTCCTCATCATCCTCCCCGTTGGAGCTCTCAAAGTAGATGTGATGGGGATGCGGGTTATAGGACGCGTCGTAGATGTGGTGTGGATGCGGATTCTGCTGCTGCTGCTGGGTCAGGTTGTAGTGGTCCTGGTTCTGGCCCTGCTCGTCATCAGACGCACTTGACCCGTCCCCCTCCGAATCCGACTCTGCCTCCGCCTCCGACTCGCTCGTGGCAGGGTGCTCGATGTGCTCCCCTTCTCCATCCTCCACCCTATCCTCCCAGCTCCCGGGTGTGTGGGTACACGCGCACGCATCACCGTCCTACGATGTCGACTGCGTCCTGTCACAATCCCCCTCCTCCCAAGCCGCACGCTTACAACAACAGGGGCGGCTTTCGAGGTCCTTGATGCGCTTCACGAGCTCGGCAACAACCCTCTCATGCGCCGCCCGCTCCATCTCCAACGTGTCCACGCGCATGGCCAGCTCCGCCAAACACGCCTGCACCGGCAGCAGGTGACCGGTGCTGGGTGGTTCGGCATTGCCTCTAGCAGACGGGTCGTCCGAGCGCAGCAAGGCATCCAACGAACCCTCGACAGCGTCGGTGTCGGGGTTGCCGCGGAGCGGGGAGGGGTCGGTGGCGGCGGGCCCCGTCGCGCGTTGGGTCGACGGCTGGCGGTGGTGCTCGGCGCGGGGCGGGGGGGTCTGGTCGTCGGGAGGGGGGGCGGGGCTGGGGCCGGGGGGTTCGTCGTGCCCGTCTTCGATCGACGGGAGGATTGGCGCCGCTGGGGAGTGCGCCGGGGCGGGGTTGGGGTATGCCTTGCGGCGCTTGGGGTTGCGGCACTCGGGGGTCGGGGTCACCATCTCGTCTTGTCGTCGCTTGGCGGCCATGTGGTTGAGTCCGGGCCCGGTGGGCCGGAGGGGAAGGCGGCGGAAGGCGGCGGGATGGGCCCCCTGCTGCTCCGCGAACGGGTGGTTCGGGTCGCTGTCCCACCACCACGCAGGCGGGTAGCTCATCCCGGGCTGCTGCAGCACATCCCAGCCGGCCGCCGCCCATGGCATCAGGTCCGCCGCTGTGGTCGGTTGCTGGGCGGGGTGGTGGTGGGCGGTCTGACCCCACCAAAAAAGGAAGGCCGAAGGCGGGGCTGGGGCAACCGGCGGAGGAGGGAGCGCCAACGCGGCAAAGGTTGAAGCCACGAAAGTTGCCCACTCGTCCGCCAGGCTCGCGGCGTTGTTGGGACAGCCGGCGGCGGTTTGTAGGTAGGCCTCTCGGGCCCGGGAAAACAGCTCTGCGTTCTGCAGGAATTGCTCGAGTTCGATGCCGGGAACTCGGCAGGCGGCGTGCGCCCGCGACCAGAACTGCGGAGTGGCATAGGCGTCTCTGCAGTCGAGCATGGCCTGGAACACGAAGGCCACGTTGGTCGCCACGATGTGGCTGTAGTTGGGCTCCCACGGGTGCCCGAAGGAGGTGACGTCCGCCGAGTGGTGTTGGCGGTAGAGGGCGCGGATTTCCGACCCGGAAGTGTCGGCGAGGCCGAGATTGAAGTTGAAGCCGTCGAGCTCCCAGGACGGCTGGTACGGCCAGCGGCAGACTGACGGCACCATGTAGACCTCCATGAGGTCTGGATTGGGCGGCGGCTCCTCCGCAAGGTCTGGGCGGGGTGGCGAGTTGGTTGTCGGTAGTGGCTTTGAGAGTTGACTCTCAGCCGATCAGCTATTTGCAATCCGACTTTTCACCGACGCGATCGGGGGAGAGAGGGAGAGAGTGAGAGAGATGGGAGGAGGACATACACGGGTAATCCAGCAGGGGATACTGGACTTAATTCAGACCTTGCTTGGTGGTCTTGTTGGTTGTGGTCGAGGAGTTGAGGGTTGGTTGCTTAGAGGAATCGAGTTGAGTTCAGCAGCAGGAGTCTCCGATTGTCAATTGAGAGGGGACTATCCACTAACCCTCGTAAAACCTAACCAAGGCGTGCGGAAGATGGCGGAAGCTACGTGAGGGGCGTGTTGAAGATGAGCGGGAACGGGGATGTGAAGAGCGGGTCCGGGAGTGAATGATTCGGGCACAGCAAAGAGACTCAGGTTCATGATTCGGTAACACGGACTCTGGCTCACAATGTGAGCCCCTATGGCACCCCTTGCCACCCACCCCTCACAAGACTAAAAGAGATTCATAGGGAGCAATATGTAACCCTGCTTGACTAAGGACGGACATGACAACAACCATCTGAACATTGATGTCCGTCCGAGTATTTCTGTCTGTCCAAATTCAGGCAACAGCCGGAACTGTAGTCATTGTAGAAGGATGCGGAGGGGGTAGCAGAGATTAGGCATGAACTGGGTTTGAGCAAAGGCTTAAATTTGCGTTCTTTATCTCTGAACACCTTATACCTCCCAAAGTAAGAAAAGCTGCAAGGGTGTATTAGGATGTGAACATGGGGCCCTAGTCAATCCGATGCTGCAATTGGGACATTACTTTCGGAAGGCCAGAAGGAAGCCGTCGAGGCATCACTTGCGGCAGACCCACGGAAGCTCGAAGGCATTACTTTCGGAAGGCCCGAAGGAACGCATCGAAAAGCGGCCGATTCAGGCCACCGAGGCACGACGCCATGCAATTGCCGGGTCGCCTGCGGAACCAGCCAGTGGCTTGCGGTAAAGGGAGCACCATGGGTGGTGGATGAGAAGAACCGCTTGCCGGTCGCATCGATGTTGGTGGTTGGTCTCGTAACTCGGCAACTTTAAGACTTGCGGAAGATAGTCAAGGCTAAAGGTTTGCCAGTACTAAATGTATTATAGAGTCATTCTAAAGTGTTGGAGAGGGGGAGAGGGAGAGGGGGGGAGCATTGTTAAACCTTGAAAGAATGGATAGATACACTATAAGCATCTGGGGGAGATGAAGTAACTTTGCAATCAACTGAGTTTCATAGTGAATTCAATGGTATAGTTTATCAATGCAAGTTTATCGTCAATCTGACTTCATCGTCAGTTAGGCTGGTGCCATATGCTTTGAGACGAGACATGGGTTTTAGCATTATAGGTATTTCCTCCCAACAACCAACATCTCAAAAGAAAGGTGTAGAAATGGACCGATTCTGGTATTTGTTGTTAATTCATAATTATCATTAGATACCAGCTCTTCAGGTGCCCTAATCTTTTCCCGGAGTTACTTCACACCAATAAGTGCTGAGTGTGCCCCTTTCATGTGGTTGGCTTGTTGTTGGCTTTTATGTTGACATGTCTCAGGGGCTCAGGGGCGTGTCTAGGGGTGATGTTGGATGGTCCGTGCGGCACTTGTGGGTTTCTGGCTGCTTGGCACAAATCCCAACATCGGTGTTCAGTGCACCTTGCGAGTTGCGCCAGAGCCAGAACCAGACGAACTGGATTCACTCATTGGCATGCCAAATTGTCATTGCAATCATGGCGTCCACAACCAACGAAAAAGATCCTTGGAACCGGGATACAAAGAATAAATTTGAGGGGTGAGACTCACTTTCCTCTGCTGGACTGGCCTTTGCGATTCTCAACTGCTAATGTTTAAACACCTTTCTTTGTGTCGACAGCAAGGACAGAAGCGAGTTCCTTGACCCATGCCAGGAGGCTGCCGCACGCAGTATCAGGTGTCTGAACCGAAATGGTGGTGATAGGACTCTGTGCTCGGATTACTTCCAGTGAGTTATACCTGGCGTGGAATCTGCCCGCTGAGATAATTGCGTATGTAGCTAACATGGCATGGCAGGGCGTATCGGGACTGCAAGAAGTCTTGGGTATGCTCTCAGGACTGACCTCCTTCACTGATGCGTGCAAGACACTAACTTGTTCGGTCAGATAGAGAAGAGGAAGAAGGATAAGAAGGGGAGTTCTTTATTCTAATAGACTCATATACCCTTGCAGTTGGCGATTACGAGTCGACCTTGACCAAATGCTTTCCCTCGAGTATCCGAGAATCCGACTTTGGAATGGTACTCGCAAAAAAGAGCGTTGGTGTGACGGTTTCCAGTACTTACGTAAATGCATGGAAATGAAAGGTCAAGGGAGGTTTTGCTTGTTTGGTTGCGTTGCACACTACCTGTAATTTCTCATCTATCCTTTGGTCGATAAATCGCCAGACCAGAGCTTGAGCATGGAAGAGATCGGGTCAGCTTGTCTGACCGGACACGCCGGACTCACCTTGTGGGGACGCTCTGTGGAGGTGGGGTTGAGCGCACAGGCCACTTCAACCACCCCGCCATCGCTGATTTTGGGGCGTGAGTTGATGTGGGATGTTCGATTTGACACTTTTGCACATCAAGCTCGGTCCAGGAGACAGGTTGTGGAAGTCCGAGCCAGATCTTTTGCGTTGGGCCCACAGCTTCGAGAAACTTGGAGGCAACACAAAAAAAAAAAAGAAAAAGGCACCACCACGCCTTCCATCTGCTGCTCCTGCTGCTAGGATCCAGGATCGAGC